AAAACTCATCAGGGGAGTTTATTCAGCTAATAATCAGTTATATATATATTTATTCCCCTTGGAAATAATCCACAGCCTTTAACCACAGCCTAAACCAAATAATTGTGCTACTAATTAATTTTTATTAAATAACCTCCACAAATTAAAGATGAAAGTCGACAGAAAAATCTCCTTCAGAAAAGTCTACTGAGGAGACTTATTTACAAGAATCAAAGGGCAAAATCTTAAAGATCATGAGAAAAGACCCTATTCACATGAGAATATTCACGTTGCCTGTCATAGGAGCAAAGACTTTAAATATTATACTATTTCATGTAATAACTATGTGTACATCATTTCAGCCATGGCTGACATAGGTTTCGGAAAATATAGCAACTGATCAAAATATGCAGCCAACTCTTCAGGTGTTGTGTCATCGAAGTTCACCCCTGCCGCTCTTTGAACATTTGCACTCTGAAATCTTCTGTGTTGTCTGCTGCAGTCAACTGCAACCATTTCCCTTGTTTGAAAAGACTTTGGTACAACTTTTCCTTCCTTACTTGCATTCCATAAACTCTTTGCCAAAAGAGATTTGTTATATTCAAGTTCACTGTCACTATGTGATTCTCTTTGATCTTCTTGACACCTTTTCTCTCTTAGGCTAAGGCTAGCTTTACGCCTTCTTCGTCTAAAACCACAAGCTCGTTGTTTCTTGTAAACATTAGAGGAAGCTTGCTGATTCTTGTAAACAAATGTTGGTTCCCTGAGGATCTTTCTCACATTCTGTATGCTGTCAATGTTTCTGCTTCTCAAACTACCAGGAACTCCAAGCCGGGTCTTCCTACGAAGTCTTTTACTATGGTAGAAAATGAACAGTTAGAGTGAGAAACAATAACAGCTCCCTTTATGAAAAAACCCACACAACTTTCCATGCATTATATTGTATTACATGTGAGGAAAGCCAGAAGAATGCATGCACAAACACACACATAACAAAAAAGCATACAAAGATATTGAAAGACAATGCTTTACACTTCTATTTATTAACTGTTGACAATAATGAAAGTAGAATCATCCTGAATAACAAGAGAAAATTTACAGTGGAACCACAGCAGTTTGTGAATCACAAAGTGTGCATATTGTCTTCTAAATAAGGTAGGCAAATCCCACTTTTCCATTTCAATAGCTGATCTTCCCTGGACATGAGGGATTTTGGGGTGCAAATAAAGGCAAATAATTGGGAAAACACTGATAATCCATTAAACATACCATGTTGATTTAGGCTATTGCTTGTAAAAGTATGTTTATAGTTGGTAAATTTACTACAGAGCCCAACAAGTATGCAATTAAGATATCAAACTTGATTATCATGATCATACTTCAGTATGTTGAGGTGCTCTGAACGGGCAGTTAAATGCTATCTGGTTCAAAGAACAAAGTCCTACATATGAAGACTGACCACAGAAAAACGATAGCACAGCTTAAATTGAAATTGAACATTCATGATTCTCTTTGGTCAATCTCACAATATAAGGTTCGATATACTATTTACTTTTTCTTTTAAGCTTCTAGAAAGAAACACAACATGGGAAAATTTTGATGAAAACCGAAAGAAACATTCCAAGAAAACTGAAATGCAGACAATTTCGATTTTCGCACCCGCGAACGAGAATGTCTGAAGTCATTTGTAAAACGCTGCTTGCAGCACTTTTTTAATTACTACCAGAAAATTGAAGCATATAATTGAGGCCTTAAGACGAGAGCTTAAATCCTGATGATACTTTGGGTAGTTATAATGTCCTTAAACTCTGCCTAAGGTTTCTTAGTTCAAGGGGAATAATATTGTTTTTTCATTTCATTAGTTCAGAAAATACTTGCTGATTCACATGCTCACGCGTCGGAATATTGCGTGTCTGATCGAACTGACGTTTCTGAGACAGAATATTTTCAAAAATTATTGATGCAGATAATTCCATTTATTCCTCTGAAAAGATATTGTACCATATCAAAAAAAAAAAGAAAAGAAAAAAACATTTGATTTATCGTCAACAAGACCAAGTTTCTCCGTCAATATCGGTTCCTATTTAACTCCCTTACAAAAGGTGAATTTTACGAAGAAAACAGGAAGTATGCAGTAGTTACTTACGGTCCACTATCTACTCTGAGTTTCATGAAAATCGCTTGAAGATCTTTTTCTGGGCCCTTCGCCTTCTTTTCCTTAATCTGTGATTCTTTTTCACTAGCGTCATTCTGACATTCGCAGTCCGCCATGTTGTGTTTTGTTGGCAAGCACGTTTCTCTTAATGACGTTATCCTCTCAATAAACGACTGACAGGGGAGGGACGAGTAGGCTTCGCACCATTCTTGGATTCATTCCAAGACCTCCTCTCTTATCGTCTTCGATGATCTTTACTTTTTTATTGCTTTTCTGTCTCATATAAGGGACAAAATTTGTGAAGGCTACCCTCCTTCGCGGTTCTCGAGGCCTCTGCGTTTCGCAGTGAATATCTTTTGTCCCGTAGTGAAGAAGCCTAATTTTTATTTCATTGGTAAACAAGGCGTGGTCACTAAGCTAGATAGGGAAGTAGTTCAGCAAAGTTTTGCAGTAACCAGGAAGAAGATAAATACTTCCCTGATCAAGGAAGTGGTCTGCCATACGCAATCTCATTAATTACAGAGAAAGTATCGTTCATAATTTCTAGCTTTCAGTTTCTCTTCGCTTGTTTCATTTGAGCTGATCGCGCCGTTTAGGCTGTTCGTTGAAGGTTTGCCTTGATCATCAGCCATTTGCAATGCAAGTAGTTGAACGGCAAGTCTTTCAATAGCCCTGTGTACGGACGGGCTGACATTCAGCATTCTACGGTATGATTCTTGCTCTGATGCTTATGTTGTGCGTGGACAACAGCCTTAAATTGTGCAGTGGCGTCAAGAACGAGGAGTCCTCCCTATACTCCAATATTTGGTTTCAATTCACCCCACCTCCTTTCGTAGAGGCGTAAAATAATATATAAATCAACCATGAAGCACTGACAAGGGAGGGGACGAACACAACGCTACCAAACATATACAATAACATTAAAAATATACATATACAATCACATTAAGAACTTTTAGAGACTATTGTTACACTTAGAAAAATCCTTCGAGATTTAGTTTTATCCATCGTGGACATATACCAGGCAGGACGCCGTTAGGCATTTGTATTTTCATATTTGCTGAAGAAGGCAACAGTAGAGGCCGAAACATCCAGAACAATATTTTCAGTTTAGCCAGTGTCAACGTTTTTTATTATTTTACCAAAAGAAAAAAAAAAACAGACAAACCATGAAGCACGTCATGATGGAAAGTAACCATGTCAAGCAGATGGTCGCTGTGGTATGGGAGTGAAACTGTACGTGCCGTATTTCCTCGAATAAGCGCCTGGCGCTTAGTTAAAATTTCAGCTGAAAGGAGGAGCGCTTATCAGGAGGAGGGCGGTTAATCGAGGGGGGTGCTTTATAATAAAGTAGGAGGGAAG